ATATAAATTCACAGGTAAAAGTGAACTCCACATGGGCAGGCAATTTTCATTAAAATAAGAATAAGAATAAGAATGTAAAACTCATCTATAGTTCCAGTTGTATTAAGCGCCTGTTGAAAGAGGGATTTTTGCTTTCAGCTGGGCTCTGGATGTTCACTGCTGTCAGGTATGTTTGAATAGTCTTTAATTATTTCAGTAGCCCTCAGGTCGACGTTCTCTCTGCAGCACACCATTATTAGAACACTTGTGCAAAGGTTTTAATCCCTCAGACTCTCTGATCAAACTTTAATCTGTATCTGGAGGTGGGAGACGGCCCTTTGATCACAGAGTCAAACTGAAACTGTTTCTCACACTTTGCTGTAAAACAAACTAAAGTCCATGTTGCAAATCTTTTTGTTTTAATGGAGTCAGATTGTGTCTCCAGCTGCTGCAGCCACACGGCTCTGCCTCAGTAATGACTAAATCAGCTTCTTCTCATCTAAAGATAGCCTGAATCAGAGGTCTGGTGTCCACGTGAGATTTAGAGTTGGTGCCTTCATCTCCGGCAGGGTGCGAGGCGCTCTTGTTTCTTGATCTTCTCCGAAAGACAACACGTTTTGGCTGCTGCTGCTGCCACAATAACGAGACGACAGCTGAGGACATTCCACCAGCTCCCAGTTACTTAGAGACAAGGCCTGAAAGTGTTTCTGCTGGTTTAAAATCACACAACAGCCCGAGGCCCAAATATGTTGTTGATATGTTTGAAGAATGTGAGGTCCCTCAGATCTCAAGGAAACAGCTTTTTGTGCCTCCAGTCAGAAGCAAACGCAATGAGGATGAGTTTATCTACGATACTGCACACACCCAGGACCCCCCCGTGATGCACCCCGACTTCTTTAGACACTTTCATGTCCATATTTCAAATGAGTTTGATACTAAATGGATAAATTCAGTGTAAAAGTTCATCCTTGAGAAAAAAAATCTTAACTTAAGGTCCACTTACTCAATTTTTCTGGGCTTTCAGCCACATCTCACTGTCTTCCTCTGCAGATTGAGTTTGTGCCGTAGACATGGAGATAGTTCAGTCATTATCATGTGATCTATGTAAAGACAATTCAATAGTGAAACACATCTCTGCTGAGGAAGACCAGCCCTTGGATGGGCGCCTGGAGCATCTGGGGATTTGGTACCTTGCTCGGGAGGTGACTTGGCACCTCTCAAGCTACCAGTCCACGCTCCATATTTGGTCCGGACAGGGACTCGAGCTGGTGACCCTCTGGTTCCCAAACCAAGTCCCTGTGGACTGAGCTGACGCCAATTCACGGCAGATCAGCTGGTGGAAGCTGGATGTTGCTGATGAGTGGACATCTAACTGGCCTACTGTCCTTGTCCCAGTATACAAGCACGGGAGGGGAATCCATTTATTGAGCCAAGTATGTGCGACTCCTCTACGATAGGTGGAGATATGCCCCCTTTCAGCTTGTTAGTATTGGACCTTTTTCCTGTTGACCTATTACGTCACAGACCAAACAATGGACAAACAAGTTAGCTACGGTTAGCTAGCAGCTAACTGCTACCATGGTGGACAACTTTACAGCTCTGTACATTTGGTCCGTCCAAAAAGTCACGGCTCTGGATGTAGATTTCTCCATGTTGTTACCGGCTTCTTCTTCTCTTACACATTTAATGCTATTGGACTTCTGGGTCAAAGCCCGGGGCGGAAACTGTGGAGCATGCTCAGAGCGCCTCAGCCAGTTTGGGTCTGATCATTCTCGGAACCCATCAGCTGTATTCGGCGTCTGACTTCCGGCAGACGGTGATACAGCCTCTGGGGGCAGACCACCGATTTTTTGGCATTCCGGTTTGATTTGGGCGGAGGAGGCGAATTTCCGTTTCCGACTTCCGTTTATATATAAGTAAATATGCTGAACCATCGTGATGGATTCAGAGTTTGCAGTGACGCCAATTATGTTCCGCCTCGTTAGTTCACCGCACGGACCGTTTAACCTGGCAACAACTGCAGCCGGCTCAAACGTGATTAGTCAATATCACGCGGACTACAAACAGCCTACAACCGGAAACCAGGGCTCTTCCGCTCTTCTTCACTGAATGTAGAGTCTGCATGTAGAGACTAGGGTCTGATCGACCGTATACATGCAGGAGTCACATGATCTGGGTGTGTTAGTCCCACTGTGACACATTCACTTTAGGACCATTTCACTCACACTGACATGTTTACAGGTATTTTAAATAAATCCATTTCCTCTGTTGTCATGGAAACAGACTGAGTGACGTCAGTTCAGAAATATAAATGT